CGCTACTTGGACCAGACCGACCAGAAAGATGAGGCAGCCAGACTCAGATTTAAGTCAACACTTTCAGAGTTGTGTAAAAAATCAGAACTAAGTGACGATTACAGTATTACAACTGAGACCATGCGTGAAACACTCAGGAAATCATCCAACACCTCACCAGGCCCTGACGGCATCCAGTATGCTGATAAGTTGCAAATGTCAGAGGACGATGTGTCAGAACTGGCAGGAGAGTTCTACATCAGAATCAGAAGAGGTCAAATCAGAGAGGAGTGGCTACACAGCTACCTGCTACCATTACCAAAACCAAATAAAGACAATTCCAAGATCAGTGGCTACAGAATCATTACCGTACAGAACACTACAGGCAAGCTTCTGGAGAAAATTGTAGCACGTAGACTCGCTGATGACTTGGAAAAGCATGTCAGGCTATCATCCAAACTTGGGGGACACAGACGAAACAAAGAGACATTGCTCAATGCAGCAGTCTTCGCCTGTGAAGTCTATGAAGGTTTTCAGCTGTGAGAAGAGACATGTGCAGCTGCACTAGACTTTGATGCTTAACAACAGAGTACCATTTGTATAATTGGTGCACATACTTCTCCATCTGCAAATATCTCCTTTTATCACCCGCTATGTAGCCGCAGCACTGTTTTAGAGACGTGTGATACTCAGGTGTGGTTGTTGGTCCTCAGAACCGATAACCATCAGCCCAGGATTGCCTCAAGGTTCTCCGCTGTCTCCAGTGCTATTCAACGTGTACACAGTGCTGATAACTGAGCAGCAGTTGCATGGGAGTGGCAGGACCTTGTCATTTGCTGATGACCTCTTATTATATCGACATGGAAGAGATCGTCAGGAGATTGCCAAGTCAATGCAGAGTGAACTAAATCGCATCTCCTCCTGGTGTGCAGATTCTAATGCTCATGTCAACACTGTGAAGGCCTCAGTAACGTGGTTCTCCTTGAACACGCATATAGTAAAGGCAAACTTACCAACAAGGACATTTTGACGAGAACAAATCTGATGAAACACCTTGGAGTGAAGTTTGATCGCAGCCTATCCTTCAAAGAACATGTTGACCATGTTATAACAAAAGCACGCAAAGGCCTGTCAGCAATGAGGGTCCTGGCTGCCGCTAACACTGAGCAGAGACTGCTTCTGTTCCATGGACTTGTACTTTCTTCCATCGAATATGCTCTTGCCATCCTCACTGTCAGCCATACTCAGATTGAAAGACTTGAGAAGGTGCAAAATGAAGCAATACGCATTATTCTAGGGTGCACTGGAGACACCTCTTGTGTAGCAATGAGGTACCTTCTTGACTTCCCTACCAAGAACTAGAGGATCAAGATCTGGAGGGCGAGTGGATACCTGAAAATAAGCTCAGGTCTGAAGCACCCTTTGCACCACATACTCTTCAAGAAAAACGGCAATAGGCTTAAAAGGGCAAATCATGGCTGGGTAGGGCAGAGGATGACATCATGCAGGTTTGCAGCCTTACAGACATCCATCCAGGTGAGGAGTGGATACCAGAGTCTGAAGCGCCCAATCTCACATTCTCCTGTGTCGTGACGCTCGATAGGAGTTGTCGGGAGCAGAATTCATCTGCTGTCAATGCCGAGATATGCGTGCTTATCACTAACAAGTCAGATGAGACAGATGTGGTGATCTTCAGACGGGTCCGTTATTCGAGGACATAAGAGTTCATGGACATTTACAGCTCGCTCTTCAGGCAGAACAGTTAAAGAAGCCAGCGGTACCTTCTCCATGACCACCAGCAGCATGACGATGGAGGTGATGGCGGTGACACAGGCTGTGTGTGCTCAGTAATTCTTTGAGTATGATCCGGCGGGTCGAGGCAGGCTGGTTACGCAGACAGTGGCTTAAGTCATTGCAAAATTCTCCTGTGTGTGCAGTTACTTTTATATTCGTCCCAGGGCATGCAGGCGTTGTTGGTAACGAGAGAGCTGTTAGACTGGCAGGCACTGCATTAATAAAAGATGGCCGGCCCATGGATCACGCGGACATTCTCGTTGCCCTTAGAGAGATGGGACTTCCTGAGGATTTTGGAAGCAACGTGTCCCCATCGCTTTTAAGAATACGCAAATTGGGAGTAACGATCAGCACAGCCAAGCACGAGTAGCACACTAGACGCCACGAAGTCTTGTTAACCAACATAGGACTGGTACTATTAACCGCACGACGCTGATGAATTTGTTGAGAGGGGAATCTGAGGGCCTATGGATGTGTCCGGAGTGCTGTGAAGATAATCTAACTCATAACTCATAACCTATCTGCAGAAGACCAGTTGGAACTAGCAGGGTGTTGTAGTCAATAGAAAAACTATCCGCCTTTACTTTCCTGACAATTTCTGGACACTCCGTATTGTATTACTCAAAAAATATTTTCCTTACCTGACAAGTTTCTAGATTTAATGACAAGATAATGGCAGATGGCATAAGCATCACTCTTGTGCTCATGTTTACGATTTCTTACTGTCCAAATGTGCTAAGATTAGGGGTTGCATTGACCAAGCCCTGGTTATTCTCTCCCCACGGAGCATCCAGACCTGCAACTATTTTGACTAAGGTAAAATAGGTTACGTTCACTGTTGCAACAAAGCTAGCTAAAGAATACAGACACTACACTCAGGCAAAATGAAAGTCACAGGAATTCATTACCGTCAAGCTACACAATCGGCTTGTTGTCCAAAAGTACACAGAAAGCGTCGGAAATGCTATCATGATCTCACGTTTCGATGAAGGCGAAAATCCCAACTGCACCTCTTCGCCGTGAAGGATGGGAACGCACCTCGGTGTGGCTAACGCAATGCTGGGGCCCAAGTATCTACTTTGACAAGAGGACACCTCTATGGTGCTATCTGCTGATAGCCTTAGCATCACAGAGCAGGGTCCTCACTTAGCAATATAAAATAATGTGAGATGCTCAGCTATGTGGAAGTGGTAAGCAAGGGGAGACTACTACATCATATACATATCCCTAAAAATTTAGTTGCGTATCCTTTACAGGACGTTGCAGAACCAGCTTCTGGCTGTTTTGTAGAGAACACATGTGCTCATACTGCACGATCCACCTCTTGCCCTGAATTGTTTACTCTACAAGAAAGGTAACACCAATAGTTTAGAACAAACCGTGCTGTAGGAGCGACTGGATCAGTATCGCACAGCTCTTTCTATCGTTTGTCAGAGCTTTTCTCTTAGACCAGCTGCCAAAAAAAAGGCTAACGGTTTGGTCTGCTCCGGCGCAGCATTAAGTTTTCAGATGCTATATCTTCTTCCTAGGATAAGTATGATAGACACAAATAGCGCATACATAACGCCACCACATGTCTTCATTTACCTTAGATAACACAAAGACAAGTTTTTAAATACAGACAGATAACATTCTCATAACACAGAGGCAGATTTCAAAAGACACATGTAACATTTAAATATCACGAAGGCAGATTTTCAATAAATATATTTATAGACCAAAATGAGACCACAAAACAGACATGGACCGATATCTTGAAGCTGATTGGTTGATTCTTCAGTAGCCTGTAAATGCAAACAGAACCAATGTCAGTCTTTGTTATATCAGACCTCTACCATGCTACACCCATAATAAGACAGGGTCTTACATATTTTTTACTCGACAAGACAACTTTTGCAACAGTTGCAATTGTGAACTTAACGATGCGTCTGAGAAAGAAACACACGACTTCCAGAGCGCGAGGTAGTAGTCATGTAAACAAACAAAAAAATTCTTTAAAAATATGTTTTAATACTTTGATAATTTTATACTTTATTATGTTCGTCGTGTGTTTCAACTTATTCGTTCAGTTTACTAAACCTGAAACGACTAGAAACGAAGGGAACTATTCCTGCGCTTGCAAATAAACTATTACTGGGACGCCGTCTAGATGTTTCTATAAACCAATTGTACTCGACGTGTGATTTAGAATGGGCGAACTGTGACCCCCGTGTATGCTTCCACAACCTTTTATGATAGGTCATTTCAGTCTACTTGACCTTAGATCCCAGGTTCATCCTATGGGATCGTAGGCATCATTTGAGTGTGTACAAGATAAGATCCACTGCCCCCCCCCCTTTTTCCTATAAGCCTACTGTAAAACTAGGAGCTTCTTTCTTCGGAATACATCTGATGAAAGGAACCAACAGTTTGCATGCAAGTAAGCCTGGTCTATGAGACAGATATGCACGTAAAACTCAAGTTCTGGAACAAGACCAAACTCCAGAAGTGGACGAATAACCAGAAGGTTCTGCGAAAGTTCGCAGCTGGTGAACGCCACGAAGAAGAAGACACACACAGACTGACAGTTCTTCATTCGTCTTCTTCATTTGTCCACCCCCCCCCACCCCCACCCCCGGGGCTGCTGACGTAAGGTTTGAGGCCCTGAGTTTACAAAATCTCAGTGTGGATAGCGGACTAACAGTGCTGATCCCACACACCCAATTCAACCTTTAAAGACGTTACAATTGGGGAACCCATGACGGATACACGGGCCATGTTTAACTTGTTGAGGATAATACCGTGGCAGGCAGACGTACAATCAAAACACATACACAGTGTGTTAAGGTTAGTTGCGTAGCCTTTACAGAACGTTACAGAACCAACCACAACAGCCCCTGGCTATTGCGTGGGTTTTCTAGGCAAATTTACGTCCAGTAGTTTGCCATTGCTGCCTGAACGGTCGGCTTTCTTGATACTATTGTCGAAACCAACGCAAGGCGCATGACCCGCAGCTGGGATCGAAACTGGCTTCCCGGCATTATAAAGCGTTCGCATCGACTTAGCCACAGAGCCGACCACACAAAGTGTACAGTACGAAAAAAGGTTTTAATACTTACCATATCCTCCACCATAGCCACCGCCATAGCCACCGCCATAGCCACCGCCATATCCTCCACCGAATCCTCCTTTCACGGGAACAGCGACGGGGACTGGAACCACTACAGCTTTGCCTTTTCCGTAGCCACCTCCAAATCCATAACCAGCTCCAAATCCACCCAAACCTCCGCCATAACCGCCAAAGCCTCCTCCAGATCCGCCCAAACCTCCTCCATATCCACCTAAACCTCCTCCATAAGCGCCAAAGCCTCCACCATATCCACCATAGCCTCCTCCATATCCACCATAGCCTCCTCCATACCCGCCATAGCCTCCGCCATATCCACCACCGAGACCTAGGCCTTGATAGCCTCCTCCAAACGCTCCAAACCCAAAGCCATGAACTTGGGCTGTCATGACAGCGACGGCAATGAAAGCAACTACAAGGACGGTCTTGTGCATGATCTGTGGACGGAGACGGAAAACAGTTTTGTTACTTGATGGGAAATGTGTTACAGTAGTTGAAAGACTACAGTGCTAATATAATAAGTTATAGTTTGATGATCTAAACGGAATACATCAATATCTCTGATGTGTGAGGCCGTATAGAGATGACGATTACCACTTGTACATAGAGAGAACATTTCCATCCATATAGATTTTCTTTTAAAGTATTTGTTTCACATTTCATGCTAACGGTATTATAATTTTTGTTCAGCAGCACATAGTTATATTATTATTACTATTATTAATATTATTACGTCTTTGAACACAGAGCCCCTATTACACCTTCCCTGCCACTAACAAAATTACACGAGAGGTGTGCCTTGTTTGACAATTTCAGCGTCAGGCGTTGCGAACACGCTTCGTAATGCCAGGGTGTCTGGTTCGATCCCAGCAGCAAGGAATCTGGCCTTGCCTTGGTTTCGACAGGGGTATCCAGAGCTGTCCATTGAGGAAGCAATGACAAAATATTGAACGTAAATTTGACTGACTGACTGACTTTCTACCTCACCAGGACATCACACAAGCGATAAACACCCGATGACACAAAGTGCCATCATGTGAATGAGGATCACCGTGGAGAGGTCCCAGAAACCGCGTTCAGTCATTAGGCCATATTTACGGCCTGGCTATATTGCGGTCCCTGGCAAGAGCCAGGATGGGGCTTCAACTAACGAAACATTTCGTCCTAAAAAGGACGGTGGGTTTATATTAATTAACGTAAATTTGTTTACGAAAACCAGAACATAAACAAATGTTAGGGTGGCTTCTGCAACGTCATGTAAAACATTTGCAAATAACTTCAACTTAAAAAATAGGAAAATGAGGGGGAAGAAAAGGACGGTAGGGGTGTAGATTGAAACGTCAATGATCGACCCACATAAAGATGGAATACAAGATGTTAGAGGCGCCATGAGAATGGAAATACCCGGTGTAGGTGCACCTGCATTTCATAGACACTCGTTGTGGCATCTGGTGCTGTGGTGTGGCGCAAAGTATGATATGAAAATAAACACAGCGAAATCTGAGGTAATGAGAATAGGCAGCAAACATAATAACATGAACGTGCATGTTAACGGTACAATAATTAAACATGTACGAGAATTCGAATATTTAGGAAGCATTTCTACGGAGGATGGCGGACTCGATGGAGAGATAGAAGCCAGAGTACAGAAAGCAAATGCTGTCACCCACCATCAGCCCCACTGCTTAGATACCCAAATGTCTCCCTTCCAGCAAAATAGCTAATTATTAATATCATCTTTATCCCTACTTTATGTTATCAGTGCTAAACATGGACAATGAATAAGGCACTAGAAGATAAAATAACTACCTGTCAAATGCACTTCTCTCTGTAAGGTCTCTAACGACGCATGCAGGGACAGCGTTATAAATATCAGCATAAAAAGAAAATTGGAATAACAGTGTCCTAATTATTTTGACAGACAAAGAATGAAATGGTTGAGCCATCTAGTGAGAATATAGCCAGACCAAACTGCATATGAAACTTATTTTGGTCAGAACGTTTTGTTTTAAGAGCTTCTGTGAAGAAGGCCGGGGAAGACCAAAATGGATAAATAGTGTATCTGAAACCTGCAAAAAAGATTAACAATTTCATCACTCAAGCCACACGAGAAGTCCAAGACAAATAAGAAAACCACGACACTGGGCTACAACCTGGTATCGGTGAGACGGGAAAGCCACGACACTGGGCTACAACCTGGTATCGGTGAGACGGGAAATCTACGACACTGGGCTACAACCTGGTATCGGTGAGACGGGAAAGCCACGACACTGGGCTACAACCTGGTATCGGTGAGACGGGAAATCTACGACACTGGGCTACAACCTGGTATCGGTGAGACGGGAAAACTACGACACTAAGCTACAACCTGGTATCGGTGAGACGGGAAAACTACGACACTGGGCTACAACCTGGTATCGGTGAGACGGGAAAGCCACGACACTGGGCTTCAACCTGGTATCGGTGAGACGGGAAATCTACGACACTGGGCTACAACCTGGTATCGGTGAGACGGAAAATCTACGACACTGGGCTACAACCTGGTATCGGTGAGACGGGAAAACCACGACACTGGGCTAAAACCTGGTATCGGTGCGACGGGAAAACTACGACACTGCACTACAACCTGGTATCGGTGAGACGGAAAAACTACAACACTAGTTTCTTGTGTGAGATTTCGAGAAAATTTCAACCATATATTTTATCTACAGTTAGGAAATATGTAGTGTGGAATGTTGAATTAAGAATCGACATCACAGCCCTCGGGGCACCCCCATAAGCGCTCCGTCCCCTTCTTTAGCAGCAAGCGAAGAGTTGAGATTCCGACATAGTAATGGGGGAAAAAGGGAAAGGAGGAGAAGGACTGCAATTTTTTAACCGATAGAACATGAGAGAAATGAAAGGAGAGGGGGGGGGGGGAACAGTGTGAATCAGACATAGGTTAATGCAGTCGAATATGTGTTTCACTTTGAAGGTTTTATTTTTTTTTTTGCTTCATGTTAATCAATTGTTACTTTAGTAGTAGTAGATTTTACCCCACTAGGATATCACACAAGCGATAACATCCGATGACACAAAGTGGAAGCATCACCCGTTGAGAGGTCCCAAAAACCGCGTTTAGCCATTAGGCCATATTTATAGCCAGGCTATATTGCGAACCCTGGCAAGAGCCAGGGTTGGGCTTTAAAATAACGGAAAATTGCATACCACACGTGGATGACTAGCTATTATTAATGTAGTACTTGCTTGCTTGCTGTACCCCACCAGGACATCACACAAGCGATAAACACCCGGTGACACAAAGTGCCACAATGCGAATGATGATCACCCGTAGAGAGCTCCCAGAAGCTCCTAGAATTTGTGGCCCAGCTATATTTAGGGCCTTCAAGAAAAGTTAGGGTGGGGCTTTAAATAACGAAAAATTGCATTCCACAAGGGGATCAAATATGAATAACAATATGCACCTGCCGAGATACAGCAAAATTTGCCAGGCAATAAATTGCGCAGTCTATTGTGTGTGTCTTCTTTATTCAAAGTCACAACGGGGAAACATTGCCTCAATTTAATAGAAAATTTGTCAACACATGTGCACACGCAGTAGTGTGGAAAGTTTAACAACAGACTGTACTTACTGCAGAGTTGTAGATTCTGCCCTGAGTACTGTCAACGTCTGGTAGATAGCTGGTTATGGATGGTCTCCCTTTAGTCCAGTCTTTACTTTTATACACTCGTCATTTTTGCAGTGTCCAGGACCTGGCCTTGGGACTTATCAAGGCAGAACTTGTGACATGATCCGTTAATCTTGCAACGAGAAATAGAATACATGAAAAGGGCTGAATACTAAAAATTATTAACAGATTAACGCATCTAAGCCGCTGGCAAGACAATCTACATCGATCAAATTTTCTCGTTGGGCGACAAACTTTGACCACTTTCGGATCATGTTAAAATATCTTAATCTAGAAAAGAAATCAACACACACATTTTTTCTTCGTACCTCTCTTGATTCTTTCCCTTAAGCATTCATCCATTCATTTATTTCAATACATTACAGACTATGTTAAATTATCTCAGTCTAGAAAGTCTACCTGCATAAAAATTACGTTCGTTGAATCTCTCATTCATTCATTCATTCATTCATTCATTCATTCATTCATTCATTCATTCATTCATTCATTCATTCATTCATTCATTCATTCATTCATTCATTCATTCATTCATTCATTCATTCATTCATTCATTCATTCATTCATTCATTCATGCATTCATTCATTCACTTACTTCAATACAGCCCACGAACTCTGCATAATAACAGATGATTTAACTCTTTCCGTAGCCGGCGAAAAAACTTTACCTTTTTCTATTCGATAGATATTTTCATTAGATAATACATGTTTGAATTTGAAGGGTTAACATAATAACACCGAGGAATACAATAAGTTAAAAATACTATTGGTACAGAATGAGTTAGTATCATCACTGGACGGATCACACCAAGTCCAGAAGGGTATATTATATCAGTGGGGACTACAAGGGGGAGGGGAGGAGTTGTTTGGTACTAAATGAGTTAAATATGTTTGTGTGTCTGTAAGTGTGTGTCTGTTTTTGTAATGCCAGTATAGGTACAGGACCCCATCTGGATGAAGGAGAAGTATTCACCCACTGTCCCATAACAAGTATATCTACTTCCACATGATGATGATATCAAAAACGATTACGTAGTTTTGTGCTTGAAATTTGTGCTTCATTAAATTTGGTGCACTTCTTCTTCTTCTCCTCTTTACCTCAGTAAAGTGTCGGGGAAGGGGGGGGGGGGGGGGGGAGATGTGACGTTCGTTAATAAGCTCTGTCAAGAGCATTCTTGTTGGGTGTCCAAACCACTTCATTTGTTGTTCTCAGATGAACTGTAAGACTGGCTTTATTTCTAGCATTCGTGTGATTTCGTAATTTCGTATTCTGTTTTTTCTTGAATATTTCAGCTCTTTATAAGGCATTTCATCTCACTGTCACAATTGTAAGTGCTTTAGAGAATATAAGTGTCCACATTTGGCACTGATAGCCTAGTGTTGGCCAAAAAATACTTCTGATAAGATCAGAACTATTTTTTTGGGGTGAAACTATGCTATCAGTGCCACACAAAAAATGCCAAATATTATAGGTTTAAATCAAACGATTGTGAAGCTATGGCATTTTTAGCAAACACTAAAGTATGTTGAATCTAGAGAAGTGCAATGGTTAACAGGTTTGGTAATTGGTGCGTTAAAAGGCCATGCATTAATAGTTAGCTTAATCTACCTTTTGTGGTTACAATGCTTGATATCACAGTCTGTAATCTACAACCCATCGTGTCAAGCAGAAGAAAATCAGTAAGCGTAATTCAAACTCTTGTTATGCTTACTTTATCTAATGTGGAAGTTTAGTCTTTACTGTTGCCTGTTTCGATTCGCTCTATGTTTAAAAAATTTTTTTTTAACGACAGGGAAATTGAATCATGGGCAACGCGCAAAGATCATTTTGGCCTTTTGCCCTTGTCTGAGAAAGCTAGACGTTCGATCCATTACCCTCGGCCAAAAAGGAACACCCTGAACTATTTCTGATTGTGTGAATATTCTACATAAGACGAAACACGCCAGATGGGCACCTAGCAACCATTTATAACTCCGGCGATAGCAGCCACATGAACGTGGATGCGAAAACACTTTCACTCCTTTATCAACAGCAGCTGAAGTTGTCACCATGAGTAGAAAGATGACAAATAACAACCAGAGGAACTGAAACTGTCACCATGAGTAGAAAGATGACAAATAACAACCAGAGGAGCTGAAACGGTCACCATGAGTAGAAAGATAACAAATAACAACCAGAGGAACTGAAACTGTCACAATGAGTAGAAAGATAACAAATAACAACCAGAGGAACTGAAACTGTCACAATGAGTAGAAAGATAACAAATAACAACCAGAGGAACTGAAACTGTCACAATGAGTAGAAAGATGACAAATAACAACCAGAGGAGCTGAAATTGTCACCATGAGTAGAAAGATGACAAATAACAACCAGAGGAACTGAAACTGTCACCATGAGTAGTAAGATGACAAATAACAAAGAGAAGAACTAAAATTGTCACCATGAGTAGAAAGATGACAAATAACAATAAGAGGAGCTGAAATTGTCACCATGGGTAGAAAGATAACAAATAACAACGAGAGGAGCTGAAACTGTCACCATGAGTAGAAAGATAACAAATAACAGTGAGAGGAGCTGAACGGGTGCGTGCATCAAATAGAGAAGACCACAGGGACTGAGAAAAACAGATAACTTGAAGAGAAACCATCAACGCATGGCGAGTTACTTGATACCAGAGAGGCCGGAACCTGGGGACTGAACCACACTGAGGCCCCTGGCTTCCAAGATTTTAAGGGTTGAGGGGTAGGGGTTCAGACCCCCAGCCCTCTCTCCCAAAACCCTCGCCCCCCCCCCCGCCCCGAAAATGAGATGAGATAAAAACTGTAATTAAAAAGGTGATTGGTGGAGGTGCCAACACAGCTAGTCTAACCTTGTATAAACATTCTCTTCTTAAAGAATTTGTTTAAATTAGGTAATATAAATCATATTAATTTGCGATGTAGACATAACATTTTTTTTAGCGCCCTTAAACATGCCTTAAGCCCCTTGAGGTGCTCCCTTAGACCCCGTTATGACCCAAAGACCTATTGTTGGGTTGCCAGTCCAACATTTATAATTTCCAGACACCCCACGCATACTCCTTCGCCACTTTTTCAACCTGATGCACACCTTGGTACGAACATATAGGGGCATCATACGTCTATGGCACCTGGGTGTAACCAGAGGGTCTGGCCGGCTCACTACACTCAGAGGAAAGGCAAGACGGACTTTTAACCAGATTGTGACCGGTACCATCCGTATTGGCACTCTGCGCTGGCTGCTGAAGATGAGGATGGAGCATGCATGGGAATACCACGAGTGCTGGGATGTCAATTCTTGACTCAACTCAACTCAACTAAACGGCTGTAGACAGTAAACCTCTGTCCTGTCTAGGCGGGGACTTACTACTTTATCTCGGGAGTAGTTGACTTTTAGCTTATCCTGCCACGATGTGATTGGATAATCTGTGTATAATTTTTTAGTATACAGATCATTCCTTCACTGTTTCCTGATGGCAGATTAACAGATTATGTCATCAAATCCGCCACGATTCTTCCCAGTGGACACTATCAACAGGACAAATGTATATAAGCATAGACTGCACCTAGAAGGACATCCCTACCGCCATCTACCTGACGTTACCAGTACCCACATCAAGATCTATAACTCTGCCGTAAGTATAATTAGTTATTACATGCTAGAAATATAATGTTTAAAAAAGAAAGAAAACCATAGTTACCCGATGGTGCTTGATTTAAAAAAAAAAGCGTCTAATAGAAAAATAATTTTGCCATGATTTTGACATTCAAATTCTTTGTAATTTATTGAGTGAAAGAGGAGACTGTTGAGAATCGCCGAAGCTTTAACAATTAAAATCAACAACCGCCTCCTTTGTAGGCATACAGATTTTATGGTAAATTTAAAGTTACCCTGGTAGGTCACGTGACTACGGTGAGCTTCCGGCGGCCAAATAACACACACGATGCGTCGGAAGAAACTATTCGTATTTCAATTGGATTTATTTAGTTTTGTGCTTCATTTTATATTGATGTAACTCTGTGTCCGCATTATTTAAATGTGAATTTTTTTTTTTTTTCAATCTGGTCATTGATAGTTTTTAGGCGTTCTGTTTCTCCGTCAACATGTGCCATCGGATAACTATGCTTTTCTTTCTTTCTTTCCTTCTTTTTCTTTCTTTCTTTCTTTCTTTCTTTCTTTCTTTCTTTCTTTCTTTCTTTCTTTCTTTCTTTCTTTCTTTCTTTCTTTCTTTCTTTCTTTCTTTCTTTCTTTCTGTCTGTCTGTCTGTGTGTCTGTCTGTCTGTCTGTCTGTCTGTCTGTCTGTCTGTCTGTCTGTCTGTCTGTCTTTCTTTTTTTCTTTCTTTCTTTCTTTCTTTCTTTCTTTCTTTCTTTCTTTCTTTCTTTCTTTCTTTCTTTCTTTCTTTCTTTCTTTCTTTCTTTCTTTCTTTCTTGCTTTTTCTTGCTTTCTTTCTTTCTTTCTTTCTTTCTTTCTTTGCTTTCTTTCTTTCTTTCTTTCTTTCTTTCTTGCTTTCTTTCTTTCTTTCTTTCTTTCTTTCTTTCTTTCTTTCTTTCTTTCTTTCTTTCTTTCTTTCTTTCTTTCTTTCTTTCTTTCTTTCTTTCTTTCTTTCTTTCTTTCTTTCTTGCTTTCTTTCTTTCTTTCTTTCTTTCTTTCTTTCTTTCTTTCTTTCATTCTTTCTTTCTTTCTTTCTTTATTTCCTATTTTCTTTCTTTCTTATTTTCTTTCCTTTTTTCTTTCTTTCCTTCTTTCTTTCTTTCTTTCTTTCTTTCTTTCTTTCTTTCTTTCTTTTTACAGTATAAAATGGAAATCCTTCTTCTTTTTCCTAGTCATGTTCTGCCTCTCATTAGAAAGTGAAGAGCCATCTGGTGCGGGTCTAGTGTAATGTGGATGCAGGTATTTCGGGAATCAGCTTTTCTGTTTAAAAATCGTCTGCATTGGTGATCTTTGACGCGTCTTCTGTCGTGTCTACACGACAAGGCTCTCTGTGATGCATTATTTTGTGGTTGCCTCGTTAAATGCCCTTAAAAATTTGTCAAAATACCCACCACCAATTTAACGTCAATATTAAAGACGGGATGATCAACTTCATTGCAGCTTGTTATCACAAAGTTCAGTCTTTCTCTGCAAAACGTCAAGCCGTCTTTTTTTCCCCATAGTGTAGCACACATCACGATTCTCGTAGCTCAAACGACTATCTTAGGGAATTCCAAAAAAACTGCACTTATGAACTGAACAACCCGTGAAACAAACTCACGACCTCCCTGTGTGGGTTCTGGTGCCCTATTATAGGGAAAATAAGAATTGAGCCACTGCCTACCCGAAAGCATGTCGTAAGAGTCGACTAATTGGGATCTTCCTTTGAAATTGGAGTGCATCTGCCTGATAGGCAAGGAACCAGCAGTCTAAATATTTATGAGTCAGATCTGTAAAACGGATGCATACGCAACACTCAGGTTCTGGAACAGGACTGCAGTCCAGAAGTGGATGAACAACCAGAACTTTCCGCCAGAGTTTACAGCCGATGAACGTGAAGAAGAAGAAGAAGAAGCTCACGACCTTCAGCACACATGGCAATCGGCTTGACCGGTTAACCACTGAGACCCCAGCAATATTCACCATAATGGAAGATATGCTGACATAGTGCCTAGATATGTAATATTTCATAGACTATTTTGTGAATAAAGGGTGGTCGATTGCTACATACAAACTGTACTACTGTATACTCGTGAAATCAACCCATTAAGGTTAGACGGTAGGTTACATCCTAACTGTTGTCTGCTCCAATATAACTGTTTTAACGGTCGAAGTAGATGTATTGGATTTGATCCTGTTGGATTCACATCTAAATAGTGACTGTTTGAGTCACTGGGTGTATACTTTTGAATAGCAACAACTGGGTTGAAAAAACAAAAACCCACTATTTTACATTATAGGACTTTTGTCAGAAACGAGCTTGGTTGCAAGATCGACCTAGTCCTAAATGAGTAGCAGGTAAAACGCTGGGAAGTAAAGGCGGTGGCGTGATATTGACCACAACACCCACCGAGTGCCGATTGGTCTATAAAATACAGATCAAGCTCTGTCTGCACAGTACGCACAAAGGTGGGGAAAAGGGTTATTTTTTGTAGAGTAGATGTGTAACACATTGACTAGGAGCAGAGACGTTGAGAAACATTGAATGCCAACTTAAATATCCACCGGTCATTTCCTTTTCAGTTGAATGTTAAATGTTGAATAAGGCATCGACATCACAGTCCTCGGGACACTCCCATAAGCGCTGCGTCCCCATCTTCAGCAGCAAACGAAGCTTTCCGATTCCAGTGATCCAGTAACTGTGACGCCTTTCCCTAGAGTGTTCACTATTTAATTTTAGTTCACATGAGGTTTCACACTGACCCAGTCTTACGCGGGTACAAGGAAATGTTCAGAGCAGTCAGTCTAACCATCGTGATATAAGACTCATCACCCATTGAGTGCCAGGTGACAACAATGCGGGTAGCACCATATACCAGTCTGTCTCAAGGCAGAAAAGAGAGTGGTTTATAGCTTCGCTTTTAGTCATCACTATTTTACATGGTGAGGAGCAGGTCAGATTATTAATCTCCATTTCACAAGTTTGTACATGTCAATCGATTTGTGTTCTTCTTTTCTGATATTCCTTTAGCCCAAAATGAGTATCGGGTAAAGACATAGGCAGTAAAAGCAGCTGGTGTGATATTGACCAACAGGATCAATCCGTAGAAAGGGTCCTCAGAATATTCTTTCATTCGAAACCACGAAGACATATCTCTGCTTGTCTTCTGTCCCACTCTTTTTTGAAGAAGAAGTCAATAATTGTAACTAAGATTTGAATATTTGTGTTTTTTCACATCGGCACAATGCATCTTCATTTTGACATCGAATATTGCTACTAGTGTTAGCATTTTTGTCGGGTTCTTCAAAGCCTGTTCAAGTTCTTCACAGAACCGCGTTTCCATCTCCGCGCTTCCATAACAACCAGCACAAAAAAGTATTGGCCAAATGACAGTTTTCTAGTCTAGGTTGTTTTCAGTGCGTCTCTAATACGCCGCACCCGGATTCGTTTGACGGATCCCTAACTGTTCTACCAGAGTAGTATTCTTTTTCTTTCTCTTCCCATTCCTTTTCCTTCTACCCATCATCATCCTCCCCTCCTCTTCTTCTTCTCCTTCTTCTCCTCCTCCTGGTCCTCATAAACTTACTCCTCCTCCTCTCCCTCCTCCTTCTTCTTCTTCTTCGTGTCGTCTTCTTCTTCTTCTTCTTTTTCTTCTTCTTCTTCTTCTTCTTCTTCTTCTTCTTCTTCTTCTTCTTCTTCTTCTTCTTCTTCTTCTTCTTCTTCTTCTTCTTCTTCTTCTTCTTCTTCTTCTTCTTCTTCTTCTTCTTCTTCTTCTTCTTCTTCTTCTTTTTCTTTCTTCTTCTTCTTCTTCTTCTTCTTCTTCTTCTTCTTCTTCTTCTTCTTCTTCTTCTTCTTCTTCTTCTTCTTCTTCTTCTTCTTCTTCTTCTTCTTCTTCTTCTTCTTCTTCTTCTTCTTCTTCTTCTTCTTCTTCTTCTTCTTCTTATTATTATTATTATTATTATTATTATTATTCCTAGATAACCACAACCAGTTCATTATCTGTCTTGTCGCAGCCTTCTCTCCATTTCAAGGTTCAAGGTTTTGGAGCGTTTGGAGTAGGCTATCAAGGACTAGCTCTCGGTGGTGGATATGGCGGAGGCTATGGTGGATATGGAGGAGGTCTAGGTGGATATGGAGGAGGTCTGAGTGGATATGGAGGAGGTCTGAGTGGATATGGAGGAGGTCTGAGTGGATACGGAGGAGGTCTGAGTGGATATGGAGGAGGTCTCGGTGGATTAGGAGGTGGTTTAGGATTTGGAGGTGGATACGCTGTTCCCGTGAAAGGAGGATTCGGTGGCAGCTATGGCGGTGTCTTTGGTGGAGGATATGGTAATTTCCTAAACTCTCTGTCGTATTTCTATGTCTGCAAGCTCTGACTGTGTAACTGTGTGCCTTTGTTTGTCATGTATAAAGCACTCATTACTAGTGATACAGGCCGACAATACCTGTCTATGGTTTGCTATTCCTATCTTATGGAGTTTATTGAAATGTTGCAGGGATGTGTACATTTTGTAGGTATTACAACACTCTTCTTAATGCGCAGTCAACGAAGGCTCAGGTGGCTGGGTCACATCTTGAAAATTTGGAATGGCAGGGTCCCCAAAGACGTCCTTTATGGTTAATCAAAGACGGGTAGAAGATGTCAAGGCCAAACTATTTCGCTATAAAGAAGTGTACAAGCGAGATATGAATGGTACAGGTATTAAGATAAGATCGTGGAGAAGAACATGGCATTGACCTTGTGTGGAGGGAAGGGAAAAAGAATAAAAAAGAAATGATAGCAGAAAGGAGGAGAGCTGAGCGTATGAGAGGAAACAGACTGAACACAAATGTTGACAACAATTGTCCTGAAATCCTATGCTATCATTGTAGAAGACTTTTCTTAACGCGGGCCGGTCTTGCAAGTCACACTCGCCATCGCCATAGGCTGTGAGTCTCATGCCTCCTCATAGCGCAAAATAACACTTTCGTCTGGAAAGACGGAAAGGTACTAGTTAAGATTTATGAACGGGAGTTATGGACTCTCAGTCTTTGAAGAAGAAAATTCTAGCTTTAGAACTAAAGTTCTACAGAAAGAATGCTAAAACACCAAGAAGACGAAAAGCGTCGACATCTTTCTTGACCTCAACATCAAGGAGAACTGGCTCGCAAACAGCATCTTCTCCCGAAAGCTGGGGTACGTTGGTCCTGTCAAGCGCCATGGTGGTCTTGAGAGAACGGTAATGGAGAGTGCAGTTTTTGGAGAAAGAGGCAGAAGTCAATCACTCTGGTGGAAAAGGAGACTGGAGATGCATTGGTTATGAAAAATGCAGGGCTGTAGAACTGGCTAAAGAAAGAGAGACTGATGACTGATTGAGACGGTTTGGGTGAAATTACATCTTTAGCAAGTAAACATTGTTGGAATTGTATTAGAATAAGGGCTTTAGTACACGCTGTTTGTTTGAACTGCCAGTTGTTTTGTTTTGAAAATAGTTCTTAAATTCCTAAGAAAAATGTGTTTAATTAACTGACTTGTTACCACTACTTTGAAGGGCACGGCTAGTGCAAACTTCACGAACTATGCAGTTATGATTATATTTTTAGAAATCATTCACACACATACACACACACACACACACACACACACACAGAGAGAGAGAGAGAGAGAGAGAGAGAGAGAGAGAGAGAAAGAAAGAGAGAAAGAGAGAAAGAGAGAGAGAAATAATGCCACCACCTTACCAGGGATTAGAAACGCAGTCTCCAAAATGAGTGATCGGCTTTCTATTCGCTCGGTCATGTATAATATCTTTAACATTTTCAAATACGCTCAAATTTAATTTAAAATAAAGTTACAACCCTTAAGTAAAACTGTTTGTCTATTATTTGTATAGACCAATTAGTACCAGTCTTTATGCATCCTAGTATATATATATATATATATATATATATATATATATATATATATATATATATATATATATATATACATTAACACATTTTCATAAAGCGACACACAGCGACGTACAAACATGTCCAGTAAGTCGCTGAACAGGATAGTCTTTGAGTAATTGTGCGCTGCGTCATACAAATGTGTGTATGTATAGTGCATAGCGACATTTGGACAAATACAATAAATACAAACATTGATTCCTTATTTATTTACAGGCTACTAGAGAACTACTGGAAGCCCCTTCAAGCCATTGGCCCACGTCTGTTTTGTTGTCTTTTTATAGCCAATAAATATATCAATTGAAAACTTGCATTACAGATATTTACGTTACATGTCAATGTAGTGCATATAACATATGTCTTCAATGGAAAATTAGTAGCTTGTGTTTATGTGTTATGGCTCCATTGAAAACCTGTCACATTATTATGTGCATGTTATAGTAATCTATTACAATCTTGTAATGTCGTTATTTATGTATGTTAGATGTCTCAGTTGCAATCCATCCTAGGTGTAATTTGTGTTATATATCTTTAGTGAAAGATTTGTGTTGTATATTTAAGTCCGGACCAGACAATATCTCACTGGAAGAAATCGAAGCACTGGGAGATTTTGTAATAGAAATAATAACTAAACTTTTAAATTATATTTACAAAAGTGGGCACATTCCAAATGACATTTTAAAATCCATATTTATAGCTCTGCCAAAGAAACTAGGCAATTAAAATATGTAGACCATCGCACACACATACACACACACACACAAACCCCACAGAAGAACATCTTATTTATGCAATATATTTCCGTCATTGAAGGTTAGAAAACGAATTCTTGCCTGCTAAATACATCCAGTTTTAACATATGGTTGTAAGTTCTGGACAATCAGTAGGCGGGCCCAAACAATTTCTGGAGGCCTCAGAGATGTGGTTTTACAGAAGAATGCATAGGATACCCTGGACAGCCAAAAAAGCGCAACCGAGAAGTTCAATAAGAGACGGGAACCCGAAGAGAACTTATCACAGACATCAGAAGGAGACAGTCATCATTTTTCTCATAACAGGGAAAATGGAACATGTTGTGACCACTAGAAAGATCTGTGGAAGGATGGATGGAGGAAGACACCAAGAGAAGATTTTTGACAATCTTGTTGCATGACATGGAGGTGTGTCAGCTGACGAGCTGATTGATTCATGCTGCAGGAGATCGCGGATTGTGGAGAGGCATGATCACCCACGCCAGTCGGCAAAGCACCTGATGATGACGATGATAATTTAGGTTTTTTGAAAACCTGCCAACGTGTTATGTGTATGTCTTATTTGTCTGCTGATGTTTCCCACATCCCCCAATTAACTGATTGCTGATTGGTTTGTAAAATATATATCCAAAACTATATATGCAATGCGCCTAAGGACGTGGAAAATGTGTCCCGTATTTTACTATAACTCTAACTTGCAATAGTTGTGGTGTTAATTATGTACTGTGTGTATGTACTGAACAATAGTTTTATGTTACATATGTGTAGTGTGTCACTCCTGAACAACCTTTCTTGGTGTTTTTTATGTTTTATGTGTTTAGCGAAAGGCTGATATGGTGTTACCTTTGTGTCTACTGAAAACGCTTCGTATTGTTTGTGTAATATATGACCCTTTTGAAAAAGTGTTTAGCTGGTATTTATGGGTTATGTGTCTGTATGGGAAACCTGCCTTTACCTCCAGGCAAATTTCCTGGTAGCCATTTCAGGCTGAGGCAACCTGACAGCCTCTAATTCTGAAATATCAACCTTTGAATGTTTTAACTCATGAACAATTTGTCAGACATAATCTAACTATTCGCTAGCCACATTTGTAGTGCTTCCCTGTTACGAATTTCGACAAATAAAACACAAACAATAAATCGCAGAACTTATTGTCTGGAATATTTATGTATGTCTCGTCAGCTGCAACGTTGCAGAAGTTTCTCTGGACAATTTCATAATGAGGTTAAAAATATGAAAGCTGGATGTGTGTCAGCACTCGAACTGATACATGCTGCAAGGCATCGCAGACTGCGAAGAGGCATTATCGCCTACACCAGTCGGCAAGGCACCTGATGATAGTAATTCCGTTTTTAAAAGATATTTTTCGTTTGGTCTGCTTTTTGTCCACGTCTAGAAAACTGTAAAAAACTTTTTTTAAAAAAAAATATAGTCGAGAGAACGAGAATTGACTTTACTGTTTCAGGGTTTATCCTATATGGCTCGGTCACCCTTCGTAGAACAGCTAGCCGCCTACCCGAGAGCGCCGCACAGAGCACAAACTCCGTAGCTCCTGTGACGATCGCCAGGGATCTCCGTTAAAACTGCACGTGTAAACTGAAGGGCGCAGCCGTGAAACGAACCCACGGCCTTAAGAGCATGAGGCAAAGGGCTTGAGCATTTTGCCACGGAGACCCCCCAGCAAGCAAGTGATGATTGTATGTTATAACTCAACCACGGTCATTAACAAGAAGAGAGACAGTGCTGTATTTAATCCATATGGAAGGATAGCCAGATGGTCATTTTAAAGAGCTACTCAATCTTGAAAACTAGGGGGGGGGGGGGGGGGGGGAGGATAACGACACTTTTTTTGTGCGCTAAAAGGAGTGGTCAAATTGTCGCCAAAAAGCTAAAACAGTGTCTTTCTGTCTCTCCTTACTCATTTATAATTCAGACACGCAATAGAGCAGCGGTTCTCAGCCTGAGGGTCACGACCCTTTGATGGGTCGAACGACCCTTTCTCAGGGGTCACCTAAGCTGTATTTGTGGATATAAGACATGGGCGATGCAAGAAGTTCCACAGAACAAGAAAGGCCGACCTTATTAACTGCCATCCTTTTCACCTAGCGGTTTACGTTCACTGGCTTCTACAATGGCAAGCATACGCTCATTACATAGTGTCGGGCTTCAGGTTGTACCGAACTAGAATGACCTCATCAAAGTGACTGCAGTTGACCGTTATACCTATGAACTAAATTCATCCCACAACACTAGTCTCAATTTATTTATGCCTACGAACTAGACACACCTTACGATAATAAACTTGCCATTGTGGCTATGAATTAAGCTACCAGTTCACCACACTAAACTGTCGTGTCCTAAACTCGGCCTTATGTCTGTGAACTAAGTTCACGACACCGCACTGTCCTGAACTCGCCCTCGTATCTGTGAACTAAGCTCACTACTATACACTGTCCTCATTTCGCACTCATGTCTGTAAACTAAGCTCACAACTCTACACCGTCCTCAACTCGCACTCATGTCTGTAAACTAAGCTCACAACCCTACAAGGTCCTCAACTCGCACTCATGTCTGTGAATTAAACTCACAACACCTCACTGGTCTTACCTTGCCATCAAGCCTATGAACTAAACTCACAACACCGCTTTGGTCTTAACTTGCCATCAAGCCTATGAACTAAACTCACAACACCGCTT